CCCGTCCACCTTCTGACGGTGTCTGCCTCCGCGCACAAAAAATGAGATGGGCATCGCTGCCTACGCCGACGGCCAGAGGCCCGCGCATCTACATTTTTTCGCCTGACCCCATCAGTGCCGACCCAACTACACCACCACGCGCATGCCTCGCGGCGGATATGCGCAGCAGCAAGAAGGTTTCGGTCATCTCTTGAGGGTGAGTCTAGCCCTGCTCGCCAGAAAGACCCCCCCCTTCACTACAACCCATGTCTAAGCAAAAGCTTGTCGAGGAGCGAGGGGAAGAAGGGAGAGTGTGTGTGTGTTTTTTGCCGTCGGCGGGCTGGGTTCACCCTGGTGATCCAGCATTGGGCAAGAAACAGCGGTGCTGCTGTTTGAAGGCGAACCACAACGCCATCGGCTGTGATAAATTTCAATTTCAGCAAGGTGTTACCATCAAGGTCACTACCCACACGAAACGGCTCTGCGGTCGGTCGCTCCCATCCAAGGTATCTTCCAACTCGCCCGATTTCCAGGGCATTGTATGTTCCACATATAAGTCGACTGGATGGTCTGTGGGACACCTGAAAAAGATACTTTTCGTGTGTAGTCTGGACTACAGTGTAGGGGTTGATTCATTCAACGATCAACTCACTGTTCACACCTACGGGCTGCCGTAGAAGGCCGAGAGACGGCACCACGTACGGTCGGTCTGTGTGTCGTTTTCCCTCGTTCTTGTTTTCGCACCCCGGTGCGACCTCTCCGACCTGTACCATTTCTCCCGCCCCGGTGCGAAAATGCAATTCATCATTTCAACTACATAGCATTTTCGAGGCATCCCAGTGCCATCTCGCCGGCCGGTGGTCTTCACGATCCTAGTAGTTTCCCCTTGATGCTGTGAGAACACCGATAACGGCAATTATAGGCTAGTACGAAGCAGCTTGCCATGCAGCTAGTGGTCATAGGTTTTTGAATGTGAGGTTGGGTATGGCGTGACAAGGTGTCGTTTCCATCAAGGTACCGGTACATGCGGTGTCATCGGTTTGTGTCCCGCTTTCGTTTCGGTCTTCCTGTACAAATACCAGGTCATACGTAGCAGTACGTTAGATTTCGTGTATAAAGTGGGGTTCTGCAGATTTGTACTAGGGAACGAAAAAATTGACATCCTACGTGATCCGCGACCGTACACACATACATGAAGGTATCGCTCTCCGCTGACACCATCCCCACAAGCACAAGGTAGATACACACAGTACCTCTGTCCGGCAGCTCAAAAGAGCCCAATCTTGGAAATGAGGGTCGGCGAGATCGCCGACCTCGGTGCGGAAACAGAAAAAATGCATGCCGGCCTTGTTTTGTTTTGACCACCCCGGTGCCATCTCCCCGACCGGTAACATCTTCCCCACCGGTTGTCATCTCTAGGCCTTTTGCGGTGTACGTTGAAGTATAGGACCGTTGTCCCACATGAGGATAGTGACGTTGGTATGCATACAGGCCGGACGTTGCAATTGCCCGTATGTGCATCTTTGCGTGACAGGTCGAAGGCTCGCCCCCGTGGTCCTCGCCCACACTCTCACTCTCTCTCTCTCTCTCTCTCTCTCTCTCCCTTCTTCCCTACACCTGCCAAGGCCCTAGTCTTTTCACGGTCCTCGAGACTCACCTTGCGAGTCGCAGGACACTCCGTTCGCTTTCCCTACCATTCTTCGGCCAACCTAGCGTCAATTCGTACCGTCTCATCTGGTCTGGACTACTGGTCTACAAACAAGTGAGTGCACGTTACAGTCATCTGTGAGCCTCTGCATATTGTTACACACAGCGGCCATTGCCAGGGATACACCCAATCCAGGGTTTCGTCCCATCATGTTATGAGTCTTTCAAGTACGAGACAACAAATCCTAACAGATTGTCAGGTCTCGATACAGCACAGCCAGGACAGAGGAGGTACATCTGCATCTGCGTGTGTTCGACGGGTGAATCCGGGATTGTCACAGCGTTTTTCTTGTCCTGCGTAGAAACTGCTGGGGCATTTCTTCTCTCCGGGACACAAGAGGACCTCGATCGAGTTCGTTGCGCGGGGCGTCATCCACGCCTCATCCTAGATCACCTTCTTCACGTTCAACGCGTTCGACCACGGTCGACAAGCCCCACACGCTACCCTCCGTATCTAACCATTAGCGATGGATATCTCCGTATCTTCTTTATCTTTATCTTTTTATTTCTTTTTGGCGGGATGCGATGGTCCCGCCGGTTAATTCGTGCTCTGGCTTACAGGGAATCCACCTGTTGTTGAACTCACGTGAAATATTGACATTTCAGGAAGTTTTGACGTGACGATGTTACGCCGCTTGTTTGGGAGCAAACTCTGACGTCATTGTTTTTTGAGGAACCGTTAAATCACGAAAGGAGCGCCGTCAGCAGAAAAAACATTATTGACCACGCCTACTGATTGCTCCTAGCGGTCCAGTACACACACACACGTCTCCGAGAGTTCTTACGGCGGCGCAGTGGCCGGACTCGCGTGTTCGGCGCGCGCGTTCGGTAGGTTGTTGTTGTTGTTGTTGTTGTTGTTGTTGTTGTTGTTGTTGTTTCTCACATAAGCTCTAAAGTCTACAATAAACGCGGAGCTTGGCGTCTTGTTTGAGAGTAGATGTGACAGATTTGCGTAGAATAGGGTAAGGGCCGTTTTAAACTGACCGACTTTTTGTCGAAAGTTTTGAAAGTGTCAAAAAATGGAACCTGTATGTAGGCGTTTGTCCATATTATTTAAAATATCTGGAACGAAGTTGGGCGCGAAAACTTTGCTCCACTTCGTTCCAACTTTTTGACAACCCTCTCAAAGTATTTGGAGCACTTTCCAAAGTACCCTTGCAGAGGCACGCGAGGGCTGCTGCGTCTGCACCACGAGTGCCCCTCACCGTAGAAAGTCAGCTAGGGTTGTGTGTGGGTCAT